CAATGACATTCAACTCACAGATGATGGTAGCATGTTGCTCTCCAGATGTTTGGTTTTCCATGTCCATGAGGATGTCTTCACTGATGGCTTCAGTGTCATCCCACTGTGTCCATATGTGGCCAGGGGGAAGGGTGGTTGTGGACAATTAATGATAGTCCTCCCAGCACCTTCAACAGCCCTCCTTCACCATGACAAGCATTCTAAGGTGGAGACAATGACCACAAGGAATTGGAGGGATGTGGATGCTAGGCCTGCCATCACCAGATAGCCCTCCTCTCATGAGTGACTCCATGACAAAGGGTGCAATGGGCCCACAGTTGAAACTGTTCTGTGACCAATTGTACACCTGCACATCAACTTGGGTTGGGTTGATGGCATCAAATCCATGAAGAGATGCTATGCATGTCCAGTAGAAAGGGCCATTCCATGTATTCCAGTCATGGTGCAGTGGGTCATAGTATGGATGGGGGGTTTCTGGGATGCATTTGATGTGCCTTCCAAGGATGAATGCAAGGTTCAACCAATAATCAAAGACTGCAACAAAGAAGTGACTGTTTTGCATGACCACAAAGGCAATGGGAACAGATGGATCAGCAGGATGGGAATTGAAGAGATGGTGTTGATGAAAAAATTGAATCTCCTGTGCATCTGGTAAGGCATGGGTGCCCCCACTGACAGATGGAATGGCAGAGAACAAGTCAGCATAGTGGACATGCATCCTGCCCTGGATGGCATACCATTGGGACAGGAGATGAAAGTTGAGGATGCTGGCATCGATCCAAGTTTCATACCAGAGTGTCCCTAGAGTCTGGTAGGCCATCACCCATGTGGTAGGCCTGGCCATGGGACACACTTTCAGAAGCAATCATAAGCAGACAGAGAGAAAGAGCACAGAAGAGACTCACTGATGATACCATGTACAGAAGGTGCCCCTGACTCCTGACTTGAGTCTTGATGGGGTGGATGTGATGGTGCAAGTGATAGGCCATGCACATTCACCAAGGAATCACCAGAGGCATTGCTTTGACACTCCTCATCTGACCCACTCAAGTGGTTTATCATGGCCTGGCACTTCTTGTGTATCTGGTTCACTTCATCCTCATCAACAGAGGAATCTGGATCTTCTGGAGGAGTCATTACTCTGGAAAGGAGACTGCCCATTATTACACCATAGGATGGGGACAGAGGAGAAGAGCATGCTGAGTCTGAATGATGAGATGGAGGAGAAATGGCTTTCATGACATTGTCAAATGCATGTCTGATTTCACTTTCATCAGTGGAGGATGTGTTGGAAGCAGCTCTGAGGGCTCTCTGGGAACATGTCTGGGGTGCCATGGCAGTGGAATGTTGGTTATTTGCTGATCCCAAACACATAATGCTACACCCAATGCAACAAAAATTTTTCAGGGTCTGCTCTGGCTAACTGAGAGTTGCAAGCAATGTCATGGGTTCCCTCTGACTTTTTACTTTGCCTCCCAACCTGAATTGGCCCCTCCATCCAATGAGACCTTTCTTTCCCTTCCATCATCCTCCAAGCTAAGTGGTAAGTCTCAATTAGACACCAGCAGTCATTTAAGCTCATCCAGCCAGTGACAAACCTCACAGGTGCAGGTGAAGACATCCTGGATGGAAGGGAGGAAGTTCCAGAGCACATGACCCACACCTTCCAAAGAGGTGATAAGTAAGAAAAGACTGGATGGGTATGTTGTTTGCTGATGGAAGCTTTAATTAGAATCTTTGTAAATGGCAATGATGGCAACCTGTGGTATGCTGTGATCAAGGACATCAGAGTCCAATGCTTGAAGAAAAGTAATGTGAGAGATTTCCAGTGCCATGTGGGTGTCCACCCTTCTGACATGCAGTACAGAAGGCATGGATTGAAGTGCAGTGGTACTACAGCAGGAGTGATATAGGAGACAAAAAGTGAGCCAGTTGTCATTGAGTTCCTTGTATCTTTGATTCACTCACAAACAGAATGAGAAAATACATTGGCAACAATGAGCTGGTTCTATTGGACCACAATGACATCATTGAATTACAGGCCATTGTGTGTAAGTCATCCCTGAATTTTCTATACAGCTTGGAAGCTCATGGAGAGCATAGTGCTGGCAGACATCACACCCTTCAGTGCAGAAAGGTGTTTTGGTCCTCTGATAGGACCCAAGGATATGTATACATGGTGGACTGTGAGCACACATGGTAAACAAGTCATCCAGGTATGGATGAATGGCATGACACCCATTTTGAAAAACTCCTGACATAAACTACACCCCATCAGGGTCCCTTCCATGCTTGCTCTGTCTGTGAAAAACCATATAACCCAGACAAAGCTCAACAATGGTATTGTTGAACCTGCAAAAATTGGTTTTACTGCAGTTGTTTACAGAAACTTGCAAAAGAAAGCACCAGACCCCTGGACATCACAAAGGAAGTCCTTAATGGGACAGGTCTCTCACTGCAGGATATTCAGGTGTGTGTCCTGTGCATAATAATCTACTTCCTGGACCCTGCGCAGGGTCCGCATGCATCTAGGTATCATGCATTAGCAAAAAGTGTAGGTATCATGCATTTGCAAAAAGTGTAGGTATCATGCATGCACCTAGGTATCATGCATGCACCTAGGTATCATGCATGCATCTAGGTATCATGCATTAGCACAAAGTGTAGGTATCATGCATGCACCTAGGTATCATGCACTAGCAAAAGTGTAGGTATCATGCATGCATCTAGGTATCATGCATTAGCAAAAGTGTAGGTATCATGCATCCATCTAGTAAAGTGTAGGTATCATGCATCCATCTAGCAAAGAGTGTAGGTATCATGCATCCATCTATTGAGAAGTGTGGGAATCATGCATGTGCTTACACAGCCACTGACACCATGCTATACAGAATTATCCCATGTCTTAGCCCCTGAAAATAGGCAACCGGTCACCTATGTGAAAGCAAGCGTACCAATAATGTAGCAATGAACTGTGCATAACAAGTGAGACTACCAAGCAACAAGCACAAGTTCAGCAAAAGCAGTTAACAAAATTAGGTGACTGGTTGCTTATCTATGTCCCCACATGTAAGTTACTAATCAACTCTCAATAACCAGTGCCAATGAATTGACTTGTGACTACATCAGGCAAAATAAGTGCCCAGCTGCTTATTGGCACTGAAGGGAAGCTACAGGTGAAGTACCAACTGCTGACTAGAGATGATAAGTGACCAGTTGCCTATTACCACCCAAGCCAAAGTGGCCAGTGAAATGAGAAGTAATCACAACTACCAAATGAATCTAATCACCATCAGGGCAGGGTACTAGGCAACTGTGAGCCAATAGAAATTTTGACATATACTACACTAGCAAGTTGGGAGCCTACACAAAATAAGCAACTGGTTGCTTATCTGCAGGCAAATGTACCAAGCACAACTACTGAGTGCCAAGCTCTAAGTAGCAAGTGCACCCAAATTTCCTAATGGGGTAATACCAATGGGGTTAGCACTCCATATGGAGTGTTTGTGGAGACCAAACAATTTGATTTGACTGTGGGAACCTTTCTTTTTTGCATCTCTTCCTCTTACCACCACCATCTCAACCATGCCAAGCTTTGCCTGTTCCACCTGTGGTGAAACTCTTTCCAACAAGAAGGACTACAATTTACACATCAAGAAGTGCAGTCCCAGGACCACCATTCACCTACCCCATACCAAACAGGTTTTAGCTTTGGAAAGGAATCTGGAGGGGGATTTCATCTGTTATTGCTCTCACAGTGGTTGTCCCAGGCCATTCAAGTATGCTAATAGCCTTAGGGCTCACATCCTGAAGGCTGGGACCACATGGATTGGTGATAATACCAAGGTAAATGTGGAAAATAATTTCCTTATTTGGAAATATGTCTGAGGATGTTAGCAGGGCAGTACACCCACAGGAAAGCTTGACTTTGTGAGTAGCTTTATCAGCCAGAAAAATAAGTAACCGGTTGCTTATCTGCCCACCACAGACCCATGGACAAGGTCCTGAATCTCAACCCAGCAAGGCAAAAAGAAGCTTGGTGAGTGATTTAGTGACAATGGACTGGGTGACAGATCACTTACATTTCTGTGACAGGAGCATGCAAAGGATAATGTGTTTGTCCCAGGTGCTGGTCCTAGCATGAGCAGGGCCATCATGGACTTGGTGAGTAGCCTACATTTTGGGCAAATAAGTGACCGGTCACCTATTCTGACCATTGACAATGTCATTCATTATAGGAGGACCATGATAGCATTGAGGATTACACAGATGAGGTGAGCACCATAAGATTACCATCAGTGAGAGCAAGGCAGTGACAAGCATAACACTAGTCATCATCTGAGGACACCAGCAGATCATCAGTCAGTAGATGATACATCCTTGCCACAAATACATACAGCACTGACCAAGGGAAACAGATATCCCATGATTTGGGTAGCATCCCATCTCCCCCACAACCTCATGGTTGGTTGGTTCAACAAGACCACATAATGCATTCACCCACACCACCTGAGCCACCAACTAACACAATGGTAACTCCCCAGGGCTCACCATCAGTGCAGACCCATCTGGTGAGTATGGACCCCATGATAGGTGACTGGTCACTTATTTTTTGATCTGGAAGGACATCCACATGGTGTCACCTGGGTCTGAGAGGCTGGGCCCCTCCCCAAATTTGCCAACAGTACCACTGCCATCCCTCATGGTGAGACATGGAGATCAGTTTATCTGCCCAAAGCAAGACTCATGATTCCACAGTCAGTGATCCAATCTCACAGAGATGATGACCCCAGAAATATGGCAACAACTTCTGCTGAAACTGCTACCCATACCCTGCCAGGCCCCACAAATGGACTTTATCACCATCCATATCTGGAATCACTGGACCTGGCAGTGAATGCAGAGTTCCACTTTCTGACATGTCAGATCTGTGAGGTTGCATTGGCAACAGAAGAAGTCAGAAGCCATCTAACCAGAGTACATGGCAGGCCACATGCCTACAATGATGGTCAGTTCCAGTTGGCTATCAAATCATTGGCAACAGTGGCAGGACTGCCTGCCACCATCACTGGACCTAGGTCACTGGTCCATGGTCTGAAAGTCCACAATGGCCTGGCATGCAATCACTGCCCTTTCTTGTCAAGGTCAGAGGAACGGTTGCGGAAACATCACTCCAAAGACCACCCTACCATTCCCAGGCCCAGAGCTTGGAGAGCCTGCCAGATTCAACATCTGAAGGAGTCATCTGGAGACCTGCAAGTATTTTGGGAGGTGGAAAATGCAGGAGTGGACACTCAACAGACACTGCAAGAGGACCTAGTCAACTCTTTTCTCAAAGAACTTGAGCCCATGCTAGAAGTGATCCAAACACCACTGGATGGTTGCATGGTAAATCCCTGGCTGTTGACAACAAGATGGCATGAGCATGTTGCTGGCCAAAACATCAGACAACTGTGCAGCCTGGTTTCCTTGCCCAAAGCCAAGGATGGGGACATTCCTGCAGAACTGAGGGATGCTGTGGATGCATACTATCAACAGGCCCTCTCTCTCCTAAATTGCACAGAAGAGCTGGTCCTCCAAAGATTGAACTCCCCTGACCCAACCAAAAGGTAAGCCAGACAAGCACTCAGAAAATAGGCAACCGGTTGCTTATTTTCAACCATCCCACCAGTGGCATCTCCAATACCCCCTTGCACAAGCACTTACATCAGGCAACCATGAAGCAATATACTGTGCCAGTGGTGGCTCTACTGGCCATGCTCATCAGACAAGAATACAGTGGAAAGCCATTCTCTGGATCCAACTCCAAGTTGATGGAGTTGCTTGCAGTGCTTCGCATTGACCCAGAGGCCACTGAGGAGGCAGTGCCTCTGATTCATGCATTGTTATTTGAGATCTGGAGCACAGCATGGCAACATCAAGGGAACAATGAGATTGTGGATCCCACAGAGAGGTGTCTGGCCCTACTCACTCTCAGAGAAGATGGTGCATTCAAGGAACCCCATGAAGTGACCACCAAGATAGCCAAGTTTGAGTACTGCATGCGCCTCACTTTCCTCCAGGAGATCCATCATCGTACTCAGTCAGAACCCCAAAGAGATCAGCTGGAACATTGCCTGGACATGGAGAACTTTTTTGTGGAGAAGACTCGCTACACCTTCTCTCGTCTACGTTCCCTACAGCACAGAGCAAGTGCCCTGGCTTATGATACCATGAGCCTTCCCCAAGTCTGGTGGACAGACACCAAGACATGGCAGACCATGCTCTACAGAGGGGAGGAGGTCCAGTTTTCTGACCTTTGCAAGGTCTTCCAAGAGGTAGAAGCCAAGCTGGTCCAAGTCTGGGAACAGGACATCTTGATGGGACAAGACATCAGAGTGGGCTATGACAAGATGGCAGATGACTTGGTCAACAAGGATGTGGGCTATTCATTCTTGTCAGACTTGAGAAACCCTCAGCTGACTCATCGAGACCAATTGGTCAAGCGATTCCTTGAAGATGAGGGTACCTTTGCCCACTTTGCAATGATCAGGAATGGGGCCATCATATGGAACCGAAGCTCCCTCCAAGCATGGTTGAAGAAGTATGCAGAGATGCAAGGCCTCTTGTTGCTGCGAGCACAGATGCTCAGTGGTGCTCCAAGTCGTGGCACAGAACTGACAGCCATGACCTATCGAAACACACAGACACGGCCAACTCGCAACTTGGTGATTCTTGGCAGGCATGTCACCCTGCTCTGTCAATACCTCAAGACAACAGCATTGACAGGGAAAGACAAGCTGATCCCTCATGCCCTGGATGGCATCACCAGTGACATCTTGGTGCAGGACCTGGCCTTGGCACGGCCATTTGCAGAGATTGCAGCCAAGGCATGTTTCCCAGACAAGCCAGAGGTGGTGGAGCTGTATCGCAACCATGTCTTTGTCAACTATGATCGCCTCTTTGACTCAGAAAACCTATCTGGTATTATGAGCAAGCACACCCTACCCGTCATGCACTTTGGTCTCACCATCAAATCTTGGCGACACATTCAAACTGCTTGGAAATGAAAGCTTGGTTGTGCAGTGGAGGACATCATGGACATGGACAGGGAAGACAACATAGAGGCTCTACAGGCAGGCCACAGTCGTTCCACAGAAAACCGGGTGTATGGCATCAGTGTTGAGACACTGGCTGGAGCTGCAGAGGACATCCTACCTGCATATCTTAATGCCAGCATGGAATGGCAAAAGCACTGCCATGTACCACTCAGTGGCCAGTGTACATCATACAAGGCAGCAAGGTCACCATCCATGCCACCAGCACCTCAACCAGGCCCAGGTGAAAATAATGATAAGCAGCCGGTCACCTATTCTGTGCCAATGGCAGAGATCCAAAGGGCAGTGGCAGATGCAATGGTTTCCAGACTACCATCCACAGAGGAGATTGCAAACAGAGTCATGGAAAAGCTGGTACCTGCATTACATGGGATGTTGCAAGAGGTTGTCCAGTCAGCAATACAACAACAAGGACCATCTTCATCAGAGAGCAAGACAGACAAGGGCAAAGGAAGAGAAAGGTGCTCAGATGAGTGTGAGTCAACTTGACTTTTTATTATTATTTCTTTTTCCACCTCAGACAACACCACCAGTGCATTCTACAAATACAGGGGAAGAAAAGGCCTGGTCAAGTTACCCATCTGGCCAACCAGATATAAGTAACCGGTCTCCTGTTTTTTGGCAAGAGATACATGGTAAGATAACAATTTATCAATGATGGTGCACATGCATATTCATGACCAAGGAAAAGGGCAAATACCAGGGCCCAGCATAAGTGACCGGTCACTTGTTTTTGAGCAGACCATGGAAAGCTCTGCATTGAATGCAATGAAGACACTCCTCAGGGACCCAAGTGCTACCTGGAAGTCCAAGGAGCAACACACCTGCATGTTGTCAGTGCTACAGGGGAAAATGGACCTCATAGCAGTGCTTGGCACAGGAGCTGGCAAGTCCATGTTGGCCATAGTGCCAAGCATGGTGCAACCCAACCAAGCAACCATACTGGTGTTGCCACTCAACTCCCTCATGCTTGACTATCGGCGTCGCCTGGATGCATTCCAAGTGCCCTACCAAGTCTATGTGCAAGACAGGCCTTTGAACTCATCCACCAACCTCATCCTGGTCACAGCAGACAAGGCATTGACTTCTCACTGGAGGGCCTCACTAGCAGCTCTCAACCAACAAAAGAAGGTGGCCAGGCTCATCTTTGATGAGGCACATATCCCACTCATGACCAAGGGTTATCGAGTTGCCCTGCAGAACACATATCGACTGCATAGCATTCCCATGCAGATGGTACTGTTGAGTGCTACCCTTCCACCATCTTGCATCGAGGAGGCCAGGTCCACCTTTCTCCTGCTGAAAGAGACAGAAGTGGTCAGGCAATGCACCAACCGGCCAGAGCTATCTTATCACTTGTCAAAGGTGCCACTCAATTGTGTGGAAGACCAAGTCATCAATTTGCTACTCAAGGAAAGCTCCTACTGGGAAGAGGAGGACAGAGGGTTGGTCTTTGTCACATCCATTGCTGCAGGACAGAGCCTGTCACAGAAGACTGCATATCCATTCTACAATGGAGACAAAAGGACATCTGATGAGGAGCGACAATTGGCCTATCAGCAATGGATCAGTGGGGCAACCAAAGTGCTGATTGCAACCACTGCATTCAGTGCTGGGAATGACTATGCTCATGTGAGGATGGTCATCCACATGGACCGTCCCTTTGACATGGTGGATTACATCCAAGGACAAGGGAGAGCAGGCCGAGATGGGGCACCAGCAAGCTGCCATACCATCATACCTCCTACAGCAGCCATTCCAGACATCCAACATGGTGGGTTGGAGGGAGAAGCTCGATGGGCCATCTATGAACTGCTATACTGCTATGGGTCCAGGAGATGCCTGAGATATGGGATGACACTCTTCAATGATGGGAAAGGCATTGGTTGTGGCAAGGAGGAGAGCAATGAAAGTTGTTCTGTCTGCCTAGCAGAGCCAGGCCATGAGCCATCAAACATTCAAATTGCTGGCACTATACAGCCCCTGGGGGAATTATAATTACAAACTCCCGACCATAATTTGGGGGAAATAATGCTGGGAGTCGATAGATATGTCCATTGGGATGTCCCAGGTGAAATTTGAATGAAATTGGCGGTCGGAAAAAAAATCTACAGGGGGTAGAAGGATGGTCAGACCACAAAGTGGTATCTCTTTGGAAATACTTCTGGGAGGCTGGAAATCATTTCCATTGTCTTCAGTGGCATTGATAACACCCAGGACATCCATCCCTAGCACGCTGGCACCCCCTCCTGATGTTACTGGATCGCCATCCCTGGGGTATGAGGAGGGGATCAGGTATGTTGATGAAACAAATATGGGGACCTTTGTAACACAATTCTGATGGTCTTGTAATGTCATACCCATGGGGTAGACATGATTCAGATAGCTAGATCAATCTCTGAAATTGTTTTGATGGAGTGAACATGGGGAGGGCAGGGTAACATATCTTACATGGATATT